CCCCTCCTTCCCCACCCCCCATCCCTTTCTTTCTGTGCAGCTGTCACATATGTCACTCCTGCAGCATTTCTAATCTTACATTTCACATAAGTGGATTAACACCACAGCTACAGGATTCCCAAGCAGCTTTATGGTTTGTTAACAAGAAATCTAGCAAAATTAAATTATGAAGAAACAAATAAACGCAAGGCTTCTCAAGGATGGAAGGAGGACTTCTGCTCCACACGCTTTAAGGCAAACCTTGTTTATAAGGTTTTACCCTTTTTACAAGATTATACCCTTGGCTGGGCCAAGGAAGCAGCTGGTGTGTTCAAGCCTGCCATTTCCCATGGTGCTGTGCTGCTCCACAGCCCTCTAGCTCTTCCTCCCAAGTTCCTTCAGGGTAGAAGAGGAACAGACAGGAGACAAACACCTGCGACTAATGCGGCAGCAAGAGGAGCGTGCTTGTGTCAGGCACCCGGCTGGAGAGAAAAAGAGGCCAAAGTCTGGGGACTGTGGGCTGGACCAGCTCTACAATGGGGAAGGGTGAGGCAGCTGCCTCGGGCAACAGATCTGGAGTTGGCAGGGAAGGGAAGCCAACTGATGGTTCTTTCAAACTGTTTCAATTGTATTTTACTGCCAGGAAGGAACACTTGCAGGATTTTCTGCCTCATACGCCAACATAAGGTGGCAGGGTTTGTAAACCTCTACGTGGGGTGAGGAGGGACGTATCCTACGCCGCTTGTCCTCAGCAAGGTGTTTTTAAAACCAGGTTTCCCAATTGCCCTGACTCTAAAACTACAAATACAAATCTTCAGGCTCAGTGGCTGCTTTGTTGTTGTTTAGTTGTTTAGTCGTGTCCGACTCTTCATGACCCTATGGACCAGAGCACGCCAGGCCCTCCTGTCTTCCACTGACTCCCAGAGTTTGGTCAAATTCATGTTGGTTACTTCGATGACACTGTCCAACCATCTCATCCTCTGTCGTCCCCTTCTCCTCTTGCCATCACACATTCCCAACATTAAGGTCTTTTCCAGGGAGTCTTCTCTTCTCATGAGATGGCCAAAGTATTGGAGCCTCAGCTTCAGTGGTTGCTTTAGTGGCTTTTATACCTCAGTGATTGGCTCCCTGAGTAGGGTTTTTAAACAGATTGATCTACCTCACTGCTTTGAATATATTTTTAGTATAGAGTGCCCTTGGCTGCCAGATGGGCGGTTATATAAATCAAATAAATACATAAAAATGAATATTGCTTTTGTTTACCATTTTTAGAGTGCTTTTTGTTTGATCCTGTTTAGCATTTGTATATTTATTGTTTTTAGCTTTAGTCTTTTAATAATGTAAGTCACCTTGGGTCCTTTTTAAGCAGAAAGGTGGGGTAAAAATATTTTAAATAAATGAATGAAAATTATACTGTAGTCCATAAGGCTAGCAGGCTTTCAGAACAAATGAAGGTAAGGAGTTTCCCACCAAAAGAAGAAGTCATTTTAATACAGTTTGAGCAGTTTGATTTCAGAACAGAAACCAACTACTCTATACAGATCGTGTTACTAGAGACTGTCTTTCTTTTTAGTTCTCAATAACGGATTTTCCCTCTATTTCCCCAACTGCACGTCCCTCAGCTTCTGAATGCACAAATCCCACCCACCCCTCATCCAAATGTATATTTTCTGTACAACTGCATGTTTTTTTAAAAAACCTGATGCCCTTAGACAGCAGAAATGTCTTAGGTCAGCCTCAGCCACAAAAAAACTGAACTGCACTGTCTCGGCTTGTAACAAGATCACAACTCGACAACTGGGAAGGACATCTAGACATTTGTGGAGAGAATAGGGAGAAACCCAGACTACCCGGTTTTCCGGGAGAAGCTCTCACCCAGCCAAGTGTTCATCTTTTCTGAACTGCAGTGTTCCAGCTTGGGGAGGATCTGCACATCAATGTCACTTTTTGGATCTTCTTTTGTGAATTCATTTATGAGACACCGAATTGAGAGAGAGAGACAGAAAGGTGACAAGTGAGGTCTTGCAGAGAGGGATTTAACAAGGCAACGCAGATAACAAACAGAGCATGTGGTCACAGGTAAGTCATAGCCAACCATTTCTTAAGGCTATATTCCAAGGGCCAAAGTACACCTTGACTGCAGCTGATGTGGGCCTGTTCCAAGCATTTTTAACACAGTAGGGTGGAAATATACGTACAATTTAAAGTGCAAATGAGGCCACTTGACAGCTATATATACACCGAACCCTCCCTGCTCTTCCACCCTCCCTGCCTCCTGTGATGTTTTCCCCCAAATTGTATCATGAGCCCAGGTGAGGGAAGATCTTGCAACCAATTTGAGAAAAATGGTAGAAGATTTTACCCCCCTTTCACTCACTCATTTTTGCACCCTGAACTGTATATGCCCACACGCCATGCTTCTCAGGTGACTAATTTGCCTGCAAAGACACAGGCTTGATGCTTTCATGCACAGTTTGACCCATTTATTTATTTATTTATTTAATTTATATGCTGCCCACATTACCCAAAGGTCTCTGGGTGGCTTACAACATTTAAAATACAATAAAAATTCAAAACAATTAAAATACAATTAATATATATATAAAAATGACGCCAACATGCAAACCAATTGCATTGTAAGGGCTTACTGAAAAAAAAAACCTTCCATAGCTTGGTCTATGGTCAAGCTAGTTAAGTTTTTTTTTAAAGAATTGTAGCCCAACATGAGTCGAGGAGACAGGCTGGAATTCACAAGGACTGGATTTTGTGATGGGGACACCCAACCCTGGTGCAACTTTTGTGATGGGGACACCCAACCCTGGTGCTGCATGAAAGGTGTGTGTGTGTGTGGGAGGGGGGAAGAAAACCATAACTGTTCTTTCCATTTGCAATATAAACCAGAAACTGGAAATTACTCATTACAAGTAACAAGTTACTCATCTCCCAAATAACTAAGGCACAAGTATATTACAACGGTAGCTTAAAGGTAATGGTTCCCCTTGACATTTAGTCCAGTCGTGTCCGACTCTTGGGCCCGGTGCTCATCCCCGTCTCCAAGCCATAAAGCCAGCATTTGTCCGTAGACAGTTTCCGTGGTCACGTGGCCAGCGCAACTAACATGGAATGCTGTTACCTTCCCACCAAGGTGGTACCTATTTATCTACTCGCATTTTTACTTGCTTTCAAACTGCTAGGTTGGCAGGAGCTGGGACAAGCGATGGGAGCTCACTTCATTGCATGGATTCGATCTTACGACTGCTGGTCTTCTGACCCTGCAGCGCAGAGGCTTCTCTGGTTTAACCTACAGCCTCACCACATCCCTATATTACAACTGTAGCTTAACAAGCGATAATTTCGCTTCTTTTGCAGTTTAACTTTAACTTTATGGTTACTTTGGTAATTATGGGGTGGGGTGTCACTATATAGTGGACAAAGATCATCACATGATAAAAGTGCTGACTTATGCTGTGCCTTTGCTGCTCCATGAAAAACATTCAGAATTTTTTAAAAATCAACTATGAATAAGTATTTATTTACTCTTGAGAAATCTGTAAGTAAATTGTTACTTTTTTACAAGCAGCAGCTAGAAGAATAACTAATTACTTAGGACAACTTAGAATGATAACAGTTTTTAGATTTCCAAGCTCTGTACAAAGATGCCACCTGCCCCTCAGCGACAAGAGGATCGCTTTATTTAAGATATCAGTCGTCTAGTGGGGACCAGTATCCAGACACAACACAGACAACCTGAAAAGTACTGTATTCAGAGGAAAAACTACCAACATGATGAAACTGCCAGCATCCATTAGCAGGCGGCTGCACTGCTATGCTAAGTTATCATGACAAAAAGCTGTGGCAATCAGGAAAGGACGGTGAGGAAGTAAAGACTCCATGTTTACGACAGTAACTATAAACTCCTGTAAAACTTTACCTTAAGAAAGGCAGCAGAAAAGTCATAAACCCCAGTCTTTGACAGAGAGTGGTTAATCATTGGTGAAAATATTTTAAAGAGAGTATCTTGTATCACATTAGCTCCATCCACCTACATCAACTGCTTGCTCGGATAAGTAGATGCAGCTAAAACCTGTTAGTAACAGTGTGCATGAATGACAAGTGTTGCAATTATCCTGATATGAGTATGTTGACAAAATTAAAGCAGGGTTCGTGATGGAAGACAGCAGAAGAAAAGGAGATGCGCATCCCCCCCATTGTTTTTGCTACATGCCCCAAGTGGCCTCTGAGTTACGGCAATGAATGAGAGATCTCCAACATATTCTGTTCTCAACATCCCTGCTCCGCCTTTGCAAAACTCAATCCTGTGGCTTTCTTTAGGGAGAACTCATCTCGTATTTGCTCTTTTTCTTGTCCTGCTGCCTTTTTTTGCATTCCAGTCACAAAAAATTATAATAAATATGTCTTGTTTTGGTGTGTGATCAATTTCCTCCTGGATACATAAAAGCTTTCCGTTTCACCTTCTTCAGTATCTGTAGCATACACTTGAATGATAGTTATGTTGATAGTTTTCCTCAGAAGTCTGGTGGATATTATTCAGTCAGACTTTGCATTATCACCCGTAACTGCCTGTGCTACATCTTGCCTCAGAGCCACTCCATTCTGAATTTGTCGTTTCCAAAGTAGAACACTTTGTAGTTGCCTGATTGAAAATATCCCATTCCAATCCACCTTAGTTGACTGGCCCTAAGCACTGCAATGTTTATACATTCCATCTCTTGATTTATAGTTTCTAGTTCACCTGGATTCATAATTCTCACATTCTATCTTCCAATTGTATGTGTTGCGTAGCATTGGACTTTCCTTTCACTCCTGTGCACATCAGCCACTAGATATCCGTTCAGTTTCAAGTAAGTCACGCAATTAGCAACAAAGCTATTTGTCCTTGCCCTTTGCTCTTCCCCAGTAACTAATTGAATGCTTTTTGATCTGGGAGTCTCATCTTCCAGCACTGTCTCTTATTTCATTTCGGACTGTGTCATCATAGAGTTTTCATGGTAAGGAATGTTCAGCAGTGGTCAGTGCTGTCTTCCCCGAATCCTGTGTCACTTTTGCCTTTCCTGCCATTCTTTTCTCCCCCTACCTGCTCATTTTTCCCAACATGCTGAGACAAAGAAATATGGCTAATTCTTTGGAAACTGCCACACAGGAAGGCACCTGCTGAGTGATGCTTGGAAATGGCAGTGGGGGCAGGAACGTTTAGCTTTTTGTGCTTTGTTGTTTCTTTGATCTAAATCATTCCACAAAGTTGTAAACCCCACCTCCACCAGCTTTCCCTCTACTGTTGTTATATCGGCAGCTTCCAGTAAGGGGGTTGAGTGGGAAGGGAGGAGCAAATGAGATAAGGCAGAAAGCACGGGCGCCATGCTTCAGCGGCAGCTGCCCTGGCATTGCTGGTGAGGTGCTGCCATCTATCTCTAGCTGCTTCAAAATGTGCATCCCTGTTAATGGAACGATGAAGCAGACTAATTATGCCTCTCCTGTATCCTGTCCATTTTCAGCCTCAAGATGCCAGCCTGAATTCTGGAAGTGGGTTTTGTATTGCACTCATTCCTCAGAGAAACACCAGCCCTATGCTACCATGTCTCACCAAGTGAGATTAGCTGGCTTGGAAAGAGTTTCCTTTTAAAATAATTAAGGACCATACTTACTAGGAATGCGAATTTCAGATTTTTTGGACTACAAATCTCAAATCCTACAAGTTTGCTTCTGGGAGTCCCACTTGCCAGATCCAGACCTTATAGAAACTTAAATTGCACTCACTTGGAGAAAAGGCCTAGTTGACAGGCTTCACGGCTTACATGAGAGTTGCCTTTCCAAATAGGAAGTTAGGCCTATCCTGTCAGCTGGGCTTTCTCTCCAGTTGAACAGTTTAGGTTTCTGTCAGGTCTGATTTTGGGAGATGGTAGTCTTAGAAGCCAAAATTAAAGGATCCGTAGTCCAAAAAATCCTAAACACACTTTCCTAATAGTAAGCCACGGCGGTGTGCCAAAGCTCCAGAATGCTTACCTATGAATAACAGTGGTGGCGTCAATGCCATCATTTTACCTTCAGGCTGAAGAAGTGATAAGCAATTCACACAGTATTTGATACAGAAGATGGTATGGGATGGGAATTCTGCACATAGATTGTCACACCTGAAGATCTATGACTCATGACTGGTTAGAGCAGAGGTGACCAAACCGCGGCCCTTGGCTGCTCCCTCTACAGTCCCATGAAACCTGGGTTGTTGGCAGTAGGGCAATGTGCCTGGCATCTGAGACCACTGTTTCTTGCTTCTCAGTGGGAGAGGACTCATCAACTTTGAGTGAAGATCACTGGAGAGCAGGGCTCTCAGTGGGAGAGGACTCATCAACTTTGAAATGAATCCCCAGGGAAATGAATCCCCAGTAATCTGATTTCTTCTGAGTCCCCCCCCGCGGAAGCAGGAACACATTTTTTTTATCAATTGGTGAGGGATGGAAAAGGCTTTGGTCTACCACTGCTCCCCAGCAGAAATGTATTGTTTTCAGCTAATCACAATGAGTGGTTTAAACCTTCCCATGACTGCACAGAGATATGTGATGAAAGGAGAGGAAAAATATGTATTTGTGGGCACACATACATTCCCTGTTGATATTTGTGGGGAAGAAGAGTATTGGAGAGGTCAGACGGAGCAAGCGTCTCTCTCTCTCTCTCTCTCTCTCTCTCTCTCTCTCTGTGTGTGTGTGTGTATGTATGTATGTATAGCTCCACTCAGGTGTTAGGATGACTGGTTCCATCAACAGGCTTACAGGGGGCAATCGGAGTTCCGCATCTTCCGCAATGGCTTGCTGAACATGACAGCCAAGGAGTTCGAAGAACAGAGGTAACTGTTAGCATTTAATCTCCCCTTACATGCCTCACAGGGTTCTTGCTCATGTGTAGAGCCTACATGCAAGTAGAAACATCTCCCATTCTCCTTGGTCATCACGTGTATAGAGTGATAATAGAAATGGGCAGGACTCCACACACACCTCTCAATTTGTTGGCAAATGTAGGCATGCTAGCACTTGAATTGGGCTTATGTGTTCTATGGGATGTATATGTATATGTATGCCTGTGCATTTATGTGCAGCCCCACAGCCCTCGCCCCAGGCAACATGCATAGGGCCAAAAATCTTATCCAGCCAGGATTATGTGTGTATGTGCAGTGAGGAGAGGTGGAGGTTTTTGTGACCAAGGAAACAGAACATCAAGTAGCAGGTTTACATTTTTGGCAAGGAGATTAAGCTGAACCTTAAGCAAACATCTTGTACTGCAGTGCTAGCAGTGGAATATTGAAGTCTTGCTGTGAACCCTGAGTTTGTCAGAGAAAGAGAGAAAGCTTGTGCATCAGAAGAGACAGAAAGAAACACACACACACACACACACACAGAGAGAGAGAGAGAGAGGTAGAAGTAGAGAGGTGAGCAAGTGAAATTGGTCACAGAATGCTTAAAGGAATGAAAGATGGGCTGGTGATGTGGATCATTTGGTGGAAAGGAAGTGAGAAATGCACCAAGTGGGAGACATTCTTCAGGGGTCTACTGATTGGGATGGTGTTGCACATGCATTCAGATATTATAAGGGATGGGCATTTTGGATTTTTTTTGGACTACAAGTCCCATAATGCTCCTTTTTAGATGTCTCACCTGCAGGATGTAAACTTCACAGACACCTGAATTGTGCTTATTTGGAGAGATAAGGCCCAGCTGGCAAACGTCCTGCCTTGGGTAGGCCTAATTTCCTGTTTGAAAAGGAAGCTGCCCCGATGGTTACTGAGATGCTTCTTTTTGAAACAGGAAGTTAGGCCTTTCCAAGGCATGAAGCCTATCAGCTGGGCCTTCTCTCCAAGTGAGTACAATTTAGAGGTCCTGCAGCTGGAACTTCCACAAAGGAGCATTTTGGGATTTGTAGTCCCCTCTCTGGGGAAGTGGGAAGAAGCTTTTTATTTTTTAAAAAAATTATTTCAAACTGGAATAATATTGAATTGGCTTGCTGACCAACTAATTCAGCACTGAATTACAAAGGCTAAAAAAATTTCTGGAGAAAGCTTTCAGTGTATTAATAACTAATTGTTTATAACTGGTTTATAACTGATTAGATTCTGCAGCAGCTAAGCAATCCTGGCACTCCCATATGCCAGAACTGAAACAAAGAAAAGTGATCCTACCTGCACAGAAAAAAAAATTAGCCACTGACAGGGACCTAGAAGGTGTGGTAGGCATGGATAAGGGACAAGTTGGTTCGTGATTGCCCATGTGTCATGTGTTTGCCAGAAAAAGGAAAAAAACAGCTTCTCCCCAATGAGTATTCCCTTGTTCACTAACAACAACAACAATAACAACAACAACTATGTGACATCAAAGAAATTCTTACTTATGGTAAATCTTTTTTGAATTTTCTAGATAGCGAATACTCAGAAGTGGTTTACCACTCTCTTCTTCTGGGGGCTTCCTGGGATTGTGCAGCCTGCTCAAGGCCACAGAGGCTGGCTCTGGCTCACAGGAGGCCCGGTGGGACATTAAACTCCCAAACTCTGGCCCCACAGCCAGATATCTACATATATATAAACTGACTGATGTAGTTCAGTGGTGGGCAGAAAGGAAATCTGTGTATGTTCAGTGCTATTCCTCCACATCAGCACTTCAGAAGGTCTTCTAGGACTTAGATCTTGTGGTGAAAAGGAATTCCACAGGGTAGCCCTGCCTCACGTTGGGAGCCAAAATATAGAATGACTTCTCTTTGCAAAAACCACAACTGTTCAGTCAGATCAAATTTCAGGGTCTGTAAAACCTGTTTGCATTGTTAATTATTAGGGTTACCTCGGTGGTGCGTCTCAGTGGGCTGACGATTTGCCAGATGGCCAAGATGACAAAGTCAAGTCCAACAAGCAATCCTACGGTGGCATACAGCTTCCATGGTTCCAGTGTCTAGAGGAAAGAGGAGAACTTGAGGCAGGCCCAAGGGATGCTGCAGGGTACCAGAAAACAACAGAAATTCTAGAGCAGTGGCTCCCAGCCTTGGGTCACCCAGGTGTTCTTGGACTGCAATTCCCAGAAACCCCAGCCAGCACAGCTTGCAGTGAAGGCCTCTGGGAACTGCAAGAACATCTGAGTTACCCATGGTTAGGAAGCATTGCATTAGCAATTTAGCACACACCTTTCTCTCTCTCTCACTCTCTCCACACACACACACACACACCACACAGCCCAGCGTACACGGTGCTATACAAAGTGCAAGAGGACAAGATCTTTCCCTGAGAAAATTACAATCTAAAATTCAACACAGCAAATGGCAGAGCATGGAACATATGGATAAAATGGAAGATTAAAGTGTGAGCAGAAAAAAAACACAGCTGTGTTTATGGCACAAAGGATTCTCATCTGAAAATAAACATTACAAACTGAACAACAAAGGTTCACATTCTTAACTAAAAAGGGTTCTCCTGAACTGCAGTTATGAGATCAGAACACAAGGGATATGCCTCTCTAGAGAAAATACATTTTCTCACACCCTGACCTCCCTAGACAGCTGGATCTAAAGGAATAGTAACTTATCTGACTACCTTATTTACAAACCACCTCTCCTTCAAAACCGTTTAATCTAGGAACACACTCTCCACACAAATGACAAAGGATCTGGGAGAGGAGGACATTTTAATCTCCGCTAGAGATTATCAAAGTGGAACAAGGGGGTGAGGGTGGTTTCCGATTAATTTTCCCTGAAATACAAGAGGATAATCTTGTGAACTTCTCAAAGTCCCCCTTCTACAAGCACGGAAGCCATGGATTGGCACTGACTCCAAGAGAACGTTGCTCTTTTTCTCTTTACGCGGCACCGAGCCAACTTTCATACTTTATAAATAAATAGGAGGCAGAAAAAAAAACCAAAACAGAAAGCAGATGACAGTAACACCAAGGCCTCTCCTTACACAATTGTTTTGAGACAGGACAGGAAGCAGGCAAAAGACCTGACCTTGCGTCGTTCTTTCTTCTCTTCCTTCTTGGTGAAGACTGTGTGCACCCACCAGATCTTGGTGAACATGCTGCCGTAGCCCAGGCTAAAACCTAAGCCCAGAAGCCAAAGCCGAGCCTGGAGGAGGAACCCAAAAGCACTGTGAGAAGAAGGTCCTTCCTACTCTCTTATTTTCCTCACCTAGCTGGCTCACCTAAAACCACAATGGTTTTAGGTATCTGGCTGCCGAGCCAGAGTTTGGGAGTTCAATTCCCCATTGGGCCTCCTTGTGAGTACAGCCAGCCTGGGTGGCCTTGGGCAAGCTGCACAGTCTCAGGGCACCCACCCACCCCGCAAGAGGAAGGGAATGACAAACCACTTCTGAATATCCTCTGCTTGGAACACTGTGACAAGGGTCACCCTAAGTCAGAATTGACTTGACGGCACAGGATTATCATTTTCCTTGCCGCATGGAAGAACTGTTGCACCGCAGCACAAAACCAAATTCAATACGAAGGAGACAACCTGTGGGTAACCTACAGTGTAATGTTCCTTGTGAGGAAAAAAAAATCTGGCACACTAAGGAGAAAGCCCACTCCAGGCTGGGGGTTTCTTGGGGGGGGGGGAGGTGGTCAAGGAATATAATATAGTTCTGGAAACCACGACATGGATGTCCCATTGTGGCGGATGACACACAGGATTATCATTTTCCTTGCCGCATGGAAGAACTGTTGCACCGCAGCACAAAACCAAATTCAATACGAAGGAGACAACCTGTGGGTAACCTACAGTGTAATGTTCCTTGTAAGGAAAAAAAAGCTGGCACACTAAGGAGAAAGCCCACTCCAGGCTGGGAGTTTCTTGGGGGGGGGGACAGGTGGTCGAGGAATATAATATAGTTCTGGAAAACACGATATGGATGTCCCATTGTGGCGGATGATGAAAGTAGGGTATGTTGATGGGAAGTAGCTAAGCGGCAGATGGGGAACAAATACAGACTCAACACCAGTTGCACTTGGCAAGGAATTAGATGAGTTCTGTGAATGTCTCTAATCCGGGGAGATGGGGGAGGGCAGGGAGATATGTCTGTATCATGGGGTTTCCTTCCAAGAAGCAAGGTGAAATGTTTATATTGATTCTGATATTTGTAATACAATCTGGGAACTGTTTTTTTCCCCCCAATGGAAGGGTGAGCTAAATGTGCTTTAAATAAGTAACTAATCAAATACTAAGAGTCAGGTTGCTGCTGATATTACATGACAGGGATGTATGGGTGAGGGGCATCTCTAAAAAAACATCTTGAACTGGTGGGGCAGCCTTAGCCCTTTTACCCTTGAAATTGCTGCACCATGTTAATTTTTTTTAGGTTGGAAGTTTTAAAATGGCTGGGATTTGGTCTAAGCTGGGGGGGGGAGAGGAAGGAAAGAGGCAGCTTCCATCAATGATTTTAAAATGACACAAAGTTGCAATACTAAAATTCAACATGAGAATTTTTTTAAAAAAATCCACTAACTAGAATAAATGTGGAAGAATTAGAAAAAAGGCACAGCAACTTCCATTAAAAGAAGTTTTCTCTGTAGCCCATTGAGTTGCCAAAATTCCTACCTCAAGAGGAGGGTTTTTGCCTGCCAGAGGAAGGACATGAGGGTGAGAGCTAACCAAGCACCTTGTGGAAAGGAGTTCCACAGCTTGGCAACAGGACCAAAAAAAAAAATCTCTCATTTGTCTTCACCAGGCTTGTTTGTACCATGCAGACTGTGGGAGAAGGGAAATTAAGCCAGCCTGTGTAATGATCTCTGGATTAGCAGATAGGGCTGACATTAAATGCCTTATAAATCTCTGCTGAATAGCTCTAAGACTGCTAATTGTCTTTACAGATAAAATACAATAAAATGCTATTTCTCTAAATTTAGTTACAGTCTTTCTGATGACAAAAATAATACTAACATAAAGACACCAACTCTAACGAATTATTTCCAAACTCTAGACCCTAGTTAGAAGACCATGAAGCCCAGGAGTCCAATGAGCAGAAGGGAATAGGAAGGTAGAAGAGTTCTCAAATGCAGCAGAAGCAGCTCACCACATTTTGAAACACCGCACCTTACTATCTAAAAGGACTCACACCATGAAAATCCTTAAGTCTAAACTCTAAAATTATCTACCTGCCCCAGGGTGCACGTGTACATGTGTGATCATACAGTGGTGCCCCGCATAGTGACGTTAATCCGTTCCGGATTAATTGTCACTATCCGGAAACATCGCAATGCGGGCGGGAAAACCCCATAGAAACACATTAAACAAAGTTCCTATGGGGCCCAAACTCACCATTATACGAAGATCCTCCATAGCGCCGCCATTTTCGCTGCCTCGGTAAGCGAGGAAATCGTGCGAAAATGGTTGCAGCAACTATTTTGGGCACCCATGGCCATTCTGGAACCGCCGATCATCTGTTTTAGAAACATCGCAATGCAAAGATCGGTAAGTGAAACGCTTACCAATCATCGCAATGCAATGTTTTGTCCATTAAAACATCGCAATGTGATTGCATTAGGAATCTCAAAAAATAGATTGCTATGTGGATTTGTCGTTAAATGGTGTGCTCGTTATGCGAGGCACCACTGTACTTGGGTTCAAAGCTTGGATTCCTCCCACTTTTTTCTCCATCCTTAATAATCCTGGGCCATCAAGTCAATTCTGACTTAGGGTGACCCGTTTCAGGGTTCTCTAGGTAGAGAATACTGAGAAGTGGTTTCCCTTTCATTTCTTCTTCTTCTTCTTGGGGGCACTCTGGGACTGTGCAGCTTGCCCAAGGCCCCACAGGCCGGCTCTACTCACAAGGAGGCCCGGTGGGGAAACGAACTCCCAGACTCTGGCTCTGCAGCCAGATACCTAACTCACTGAACTATTCAGCCAGCGTTTCTCCATTCTTTATTTGAAGACATTTGTCCACGAAGAAAGAAAGAGAGAGCCAAGAACCACACTGTGCTTGTGAGCCTAGCCATTACATTGATATTCTGGAGCTTGGAAATGTTCCTTTGTCACACTACAACTCCCAGTGGGATAGTTGTATATAGCTGTATATAGTTGATAGTTGGGGAATTTTGGGAGCTCTAGTTAAAAATAAAAAGAAGCAAATTGCTCAAGTTGTGATAGAGGGGCCAAAATATACCTGGCAAACGAAGGGGAAAAGTTCTTTGCTGATGTGAAGACCGTCCAGCCCAAGAGGAAAAACTGATGCTTGCGCCAGTGCACAACCCACAGCTGTCATGTTGTTGAGGTATGGCTGTGAATTCTGGATGTATCTGTGAAGAGATGGAAGCTGTCAGATACAGTTTTTCTGTTTCTAAAGATCCAGACCCAGCTGCCTTTTATTCCCAAGGTACTAGAGGTGACCTATAAAGGCACCTATCTGAGCTACGCACAACTTCCTACAGCTCAGGAGCCCTAGTGACATCAAGAAGAGAAGCTGACTTGTTATCCTGCCACCATGAATGGGACAGAGAAAGACCCTGCCAGAAGCTGATGGCAAGCAGAAGGTAAAGGTCCCAGGTATGGATTCTAGATGGCAGCATCCAGAGAAGAAACCCCACAGTCTACCTTATATCTTGTGGACTGCTGGCTTATCTAGCTCAGCCCCAATATAGTCTACAACAGGACTGGGAGAACTGTCGCCTTCTAGATATTGTTCAAAAAGATCTCTCATCAACCCTGGCCATGCTGGTTGGGCACAGCTTTCCTCCTTCTTGACCTCATGGTGGCATCTGGGGCAGCAGGCACAGGTCCCCACATGTGGTCTACACTTATTTGTAGGGGGATTTCCAGAGTTTCAATGGGGAACCATTCCCTGCTGTATTCAGAGATGCTGGGGATTGAAACAGGGGATTTCGGCTTACAAAGCATATACCTTCCCACTGAGGTAAACCCCTTTTCAGTGTCACTCACCTGACATGCCCATTGTAGATGTTGAAGGCCAGGCAGATGATGGCCAACAGAATACCTATGCTGGAGAGCACTGAAACAGAAATGTAGAGTTTCTGGGAAAGGTACCGGAAAGTAGTGATGATCTTTGTGTAGTCAGCTGGTGGGGAGCCCCCTGTAGGATATGAAGGGAAGGGGGACAGAGAAACACAGGATCTTACTTATATTCACCTCATAGACCTTCCCCAAGGAACACTTTCTTTGTTCCTGTTCTTTTCCACACACAATTCTGCCTCTTCTCCTATCCGGGAGAATCCCTGCAAGATGATATGGAAGGCCAAGAAAGACTTTGAGGAACGTATGGCCAGCAATACAAAGGGGAATAACAAAAGCTTCTTTAAATACATTAGAAACAGGAAACCTGCCAGAGAAGCAGCTGGCCCTCTGGATGGTGAGGGAGGCAAAGGGGGACTTGGAGATTGCAGAGAAATTACCTGAGTTCTTCGCACCTGTCTGCACGACAGAAAGGCTTGAGCAGATTCTGCTGCCCAAACGGGATGTGGTGATGGCTTCTGGCCTAGATGCCTTTAAAAAGGGATTGGACAGATTCCAGGAGAAAAAGTCCATCACAGATTTAAAAAGGGATTGGACAGATTCCAGGAGGAAAAGCCCATCGCAGGTTACAAGTGATGATGGGGATGTGTAATCTCCAGGCTTAGAAGGAAGGGACCTCCAAATGCCAGATGCAGGGGAAGGGGTATCAGGAGACAGGTCTATAGTTATCTTGTGGGCTCCCAGAGGCCTCTGGTGGGGCCACTGTGAGATGCAGGAAGCCGGACTAGATGGGCCTTTGGCCTGATCCAGCAGGGCTCTTCTTATGTCCTTATGCATCATGGAGTTGAAAGCCCCCTCAGAGATTACCTAAACTGTTGACTGATTCCTCTCAGCTCTTTGGATATTTTGGCTGGGAAACAACTCGAATGAGTACTTTTATGGTTTACCATTTTCTCCTAACCCAGTTAAAATGACTGAACTATTTTTCCTGGAGGGTGGAGCAGCCATGTTGCTTTTGGCCTATAGCTGCAACATCTATAGAACTACTAGCCACCATGCCTTACAATCATTAATGGGTGGCAGCCTCACCATATCAAAAATGATAATGGGGAATTCCACATCTTGGAAAGGGAACCCTCCCGAACACACCCCACACATTATTTATGCCTGAGGCCCCTCTTTTCCATGGGCTGTTGTCTTCTATTTATTACTATGAAGCAATGATACTGAGTGTGTCAGTAAAACATTCTGGAAGGAAGTCACCATTAAACTGTCGAGGACTGAGAGGAGAACACCTGCACCTCTCGAGTAGGAGGTCCAATAGACCCTCTTCAGCCTCAAGACCCACCTTTAGGCCAAGCATGCATTCAGGTACCTAGTTCTTAATTTTTTGTAACCAAATTTCCATGGCACTAATGTAGTGAATCAGGCTGCAACCTACTCATAACTCCTGGGTCATCAACTGAGGACCAAAGCTTGGAAATGTACTCTTTTTTTATATAATATCTCACAGAATCCTCCTGTTAGCCGCAGGGGAATTCTGGCCATGTTGATTATGGGGTCCTGGGACAGCAAAGACATGTCAAGATTCAGGGTGACTGGAGGATTCTGGGAAAGGAAAGGCATCTAAACCAGAGAAATGGTCACTACCAAAGCTTGGAAAAATTTCTGCCATGTTGGGCGAAGGTTTCTGGACGTTGTAGCCCTCCCAGGAAATATGTATTTGTCTATTTATTTTGCATTGACCCACCTTGCTCAGTGCGCTGCGTACTAATAGGAAGCAGCTCTCCTCCAGAATTTTAGACGGGTCTTTTCTCTACCTGAAAACCCCACAGGAACTTTCCACATGCCCTGCATGTCCTCTGATATTTACAGTCCTCTCCTTTAAATACAAGGCCTTCTGCTACGACTGGCGCGGGTGCGTCTTAGAACTGAACCTGCTCACACCCATACCAAGAGCTGTACGGATAGATCAGCAAGCCTGGGCTGTTTCACTAGATGAACAAGTGCTGCTACTGCTGACAGCACACCTCAATTCATCAGGGGCTATACAGAAACTGATAATTGTTCTGCTTCTCAGAGGGTCACAGTGTAAAACTTGTTTCTGTTTCTAGATTCTTAGACTGTTAATTTCGGTCTCATAGAGATTTGATCCTTCAGTTTCTTACCAATCCATTTCTCATTGTTATACCAGGACAGGTTATCCTTGGTGCTGTCATAATACCCGATCTTCTTGTAGACACCATCTGTTGAAAGGGAAAGAATTTCAGAGAGTAGATTCAAGGAAAAGATTATGTCAGAGGACAAGATGAACTAAAGGAGCAGTAGAGGGCAGACAGTGGATCTGCATCTTCTTGTCCCTTTCTCAGTGATCTGTGACCTGGATTTCCAGCTCCCAATTATTTAACAAAAGCAGAAACAAAATACAGTAATTCTCCCCAGTTGAAAGAATACGGCAGAATTTTTAAAAAGCTTGGGGGAAAATAATGAATGCCTGTTAAGTTCTGGTACTTACAATAAATTCCTGGGCTTGGAATTCTTTAATTCAGGCTCCCCTTTTGGATTCTAAGCAACTTTCTGCATTCACAGTATGTGTCCTTGTATTTATCTATATGGCTCCAGCTCTTAAATGCAAGGTCTTCTGCTCTACCAAGCCCAAAATTGCTCACCTTTTCAGCAGATGATCAGTTTCAAAACTACTTGAGTGCCAGCATATCAGGCAAAAAGAAAATAAAACTAAAAACTAAAGAACAGGAGACAAAAACGTTGTGGCACCTTAAAGACCATCTTTTAACATGAGCTTTCATGGATAAGTTCATTTCCTTAGACAGTCTTAATCAAAGAATAAAATGGCCATCAGCCGTCCAACCAGAGTTGTTTGTATCAATGTATACAATCCAAACAGCCATGTCCAGCCATGAATGGACGCAAGATGAGAAAATTGTTCTAGTTGATTAAAAACTGCTCACCCTGAAGCTGCTCAATGAGGGTCCAGGCCATCCGAGAACCACTGGCATCAAACACCACATGTCCCTGGTGAGAGAAGGAAAAAGGTGTTAATATAGCAACCTTAAAATTTATCCACACCAGGGGGAAGTGGAGTCTGGATCTTCCATAGTCTTCTTATGCTGGTACGCATTAAGAGAGTGCACAGATTCCAACAGAAAACAACAGGAGAGTGGCTGTGTGTCTCTGGTAGAAAGAATTTCTGGAGAATATTTCTGGTACAGCTTTATGTTGGGAAGTGCTGGAGTTGTAAGACTGTATCATGTACAATTGACCTCTGGGTAGTGTGGGCAGCATATAAAACAAACAAACAAACAAACAAACAAACAAACAAACAAATAATATTTTGGTGCTGAGTCGCAATTCTGGGCAAAATCTTGGTTCCTGATAATATCAACTTTCATAACAAAGTGGTTCAAGGTTCTAGCCCTCAGTGGTATGACGATATCTGAAAATAAACTGCAATCTCCGCCAAAAGGTACTGGGGTCATGGGTAAAACAAACAGTTCATTTGCCTTGCTTGGGATCTGATCTATTATTATGTGCATCAAGCTGATTCTAGCTTATGGTGAATCTTTCTGGGGTTTTCCAGGTAGCAAATATTCAGAAGTGGCTGGTTATTCCCTTCTGGTGGTGCTCTGGGACTGTGCAGCTTGCCCAAGGCTACACAGGTTGGCTCTTTGCCGAAGAGGGGAACTGAACTCCCAACATCTGGCTTCACAGCCAAGTATCCAACATACTGAGCTATCTAGCCAGTCTTTGACTTACAGCCTCTCGCAATTGAGTCTCCCATTTTATTCTCTACAATCCTATACCAGCACTTGCCTCAACAGTGCTTTCTGAAAATCCTGCCGCATTACCTACCCACTCAACTGTATGCAACGATCCAAACTGTAGGCTTGGAATGGAAAAGTAAATTCAGCCATGTGAAATAAATTATCATTGCAGTGTGCAGAACTAGGTTGTTCGGTGGACATTTTAATGGATCTGTCTGTAGCTAGACAGCAGTTGTTGCATATCCCAAACACTGCCGTTCTGCATTTGAGAGAACAGGCCACTCACCGAGACTCCTTCAAAAGCTGAAGAGTTGAGTGCCCGGTAAATTTCATCTGTAATGGTTCGGTTGTTGTAATTGAAGTCTTCCAGGCGCAACCCCTTCTTCACCAGCTCAGCTGAAGTCTTGTTAAGTGCAAGAGCCAATGCCCAGATGGCATCATAAGCCAATGGGGCCTCCTGGAAGCCACCTGTCTCTTCTGGACTCTTTTCCACACGCTTTGTCAGCTTATCAATGAATTCTTGTGATGTCTGGAAGTGGCATGAGAGAAGCAAACAGTTTAGAAAAGTTCCCCTTTTTTGGGGACTTCACAAATACGGAAGTTAACTTTTATTAGAAAAATTAATGGCTTCTCAAAGAGTTTAATAAGCTGAAAACTAAGTTAATTTCTATGTAGCAGCGTCCAGAAAACAACATTTTAACAGGGAACAATATATTGTGATTGAATTTTGATTTTCAAAGTTAAAATTAAGAGGTATACATTTTTAAATTCAGTTTTTACAAACATGAGATGTTGAAAAATGTTCTCTTTGAGAGGATACATCATGTTGGATGTTGCCAATGATCTGTAATATAAGCAAATATTTTCAGCATTTAAATTGACCCTGTTAGTGGCCATGAGAGTTAGCATTGCCTCTGCAGCCAAGCAAGAGGAACTAATTTGTAGGGTGAAAGGCTTGTGGGACTTGAGACAACTCTGAAAGTCCCGGCAGCCTCTTGTTTTAGAAGGTAGCCATTCCGTAACCACCTGGGGTTCCCACTACACCTTAATAAATTGTTTCTCACCATATTGGAGATGCTGCGAGTGTTCTCTGGGTTCAGCATGACAATCTCGGTGGTGAAGTGCCCTTCCACGGCCTCCCTCATTTCCTCCTCAGTGCAGTTGATATTTGAGTCCTTGATTCGGAACCAGTTGTCAGCGTACCAGCCAATCAGGAACCAGACATACTTCTTCCCAAACAAACGCTCCTTGTAGACCTGTCTCCAGGACCAATGAACACAGCCAACCAATCAGAGAACAGCCGCGCAGCTTTTTCATTTGCCTATCTGACCCTGCAACTTCATTTTCCACCATAATGGCCTCTTGAGGTGTTCCAGTCTGGTACTTCCTGCAGACGCCAGCAGATATATACATGTCCAAGCTATGCAATTCAGCAAGCTTCCACTTGTTTCGCTGACGTTTTTGCAGCCACAGTGTCCGCCATGACACCTTGTTCCTCCATTCCAAGTGGGCTCTCCGAAAACAATTCTCTCATTTGAAAAATATCTGCAGTTTTGTTACTATGTCTGCTGGAAGCCTTAATTAGGCTCTTAATCTCTTCCATGTCACATTAGGTGAATACTTTGGTGACCTTTTATCGCCCACTCTGTCTTCGAGTGTAAAATCCATGGCCTCCCTCTTGCTTTAAGAGAGGCAATACTCATGCACAGAGGGTAGGATATTAGGTGAATACTTTGGTGACCTTTTATCACCCACTCTGTCTTCAAGTGTAAAATCCATGGTCTCCCTCTTGCTTTAAGACAGAGGGTAGGAAAGTAGTCCTTTTTGGACTACAAGCCCCCAATCATTTGGGGATGGGATGTGTAGTCCTCAAAGGCTCTGCTCATACACTACATGCATTAATCCTTCTATGATTATCTCATGTAAGCATGTTCACCAATCTATGTTTCCCTGCTTGCATACATTCCCCTGCCCCTGCTCCTTATCTCTCCCCCCAATCAGTCTCAATACACAGGTGTCTTTTTTTACAACTCCACTGCCTCTATTTGTAGAATGGACTTCATCCCTAGCTAACATAGGAGCCCTTCACAGAAGTATGGAGCCCATTTCATTGTAGTGAGGTTCACACTATTGGGAAATCTGTATGTATGTATGTATGTATGTATGTACGTACGTACGTACGTACGCACGCACACACGCACGGATGGGTGTGTGCGTGCGTGCATGCATGCATGCATGTTTTTTTTTTATCCCAGGATGGATGGATGGATGGATGGATGCATCCATGCATGTTTTTGTTTTTATCCCGTCTTTCTCCTTAAGGAACCCAGTGTATGTGAATTAAATCACTAGATGTACAAGGTCAGTCACAGATCTTTCTCTAAGGTCTTGTTGGCTGAACGATCAAATGACTTCAGCACTGGCCCTACCCCTGTTGCTGCTCAGTTCATACACAGTACTCAATAACTTTTTTTTAATTTCTTTATTTTATTTAATAGCCTGAGTCACATCACTGGGAAATGGCTCCCACACTTTCATATCTCACACTGCCTCCCTGAACTAAAGCAACCTTGCCCTGCACTTTATCTTCAGAATAACCCTTTAAGAAAGGCACAATAAAGATAGAGCGACCAGCCCAAAAACTCCCAAGAAGTTTCACAATGCACTGATGGGCCTGAATCTGGAACCCCCAAATCCCTCTGTAACCGGAAGGTCACATTTGTCGACACTCTAACTGGGATAGCCTTCCGAGCCTCTAAAAGGATGGAATTAGTAAAGTGGTCTCTCCTTGCAATCTCTGGAGTACTTACTCCTGGTGAGAGCTTCAGCTCTGAACACCCACCTCACAGAAGACCTTCCGTGCTTCCGTCTCATAAAAGAGCCCCACGATGATACGAGCATCCTGGCGCTGGAGAGAAGGAAAGTGCGATCAGGCGACCTGAGAATGTTCTCACCCCATTTTCAAGAAATCCACACCTATTATTTACCCCTGTGAGAGCTTGGAGATATTCCTTCTTTGGACTACAAATCCCATAATTCATTGCATGCCAGTGGATTCTGGAACATGTAGTCCAAAAAGGAACTTTCCAGGTTTTGACCTTTGTGTATACTTATTCTACATCACAGAGCTGCTAAATTTGGCATAGTTCTGTATGATCTCAAGTGAAAACACATAAATGCCTTTTTTTCCCAGTAGGCAGAAAAGTGCACGGTGGATGTACATTCCATCTTTTCTGTCCCAATTCATACCCTTGTAGACAAAGAATACATGAAACCAAAAGCACTGCCATCTAGAAATCTAAATTAGCCTGGAATCTGAAACAATAGCAGACCATTGTTTCATTGGGAAGAACCTGAACATTGGTAGTTGACCTATTGTAAGGGACATGAGCCCGGTCAGGTACCCACTAGCGCCAACACTTGATGAGGGCCCTGCTCAGACCTTTAGTTACAGTGGTTCCACTTAAACACCATGCTTGCTTCATTTAAGAGGCCAACTGATGCCAGTCAGCAGCCTTCTTCAATTTGCCCTCTCCCAGTGCGCTGGGCTCCAAACTCCATCCTCCAAAGCCAAGCTGGCTGCTGTTGGCTATGTGGCATTTCTAAGTTAATCATACACTGCACAAAGAAGCACTTCCTTTTGCTTGACCTGAGCCTTCTGCTAATCAGGTTGGCAGAAGCGACCGACGGAAGAGCCTAGCTGTGAATCTTGCATGTTTGAAGGAGACAAGGCACTTAGCGACACAAGCTCACGACAGCCTCTTGTGTTTTCCCTCCCCCCTTTCTTGCAGAGCTACTGCTGATGAATTTGTGATGCTGCTTCATTAATGATTAATAAACCGTGCTGAGCCTGGTTTTCTGATCTTGAGATAATTGATGCCTGCAAAGTGCCTGATGTTTCTCTTTCTACGGAAAGGGGCACAGTGCCCATGTGCCCTAGGGTCTAGACCACTGGGGAGTGCCAAGAGGGCAAGGCCACTATGAACCCTTTCCTAAATGGGTTCCCTGCATGCAGCACTCATCTTCTTCCAAAGGAAGGGGGCGAAGCCACTTGGAAATGAAATGAACCAAGTGGCTGGAACTTAAGTGCCACTGCTGGACACTTATTGCACCCCTGGCCAGCTTTTGAAAAAAAAGGAAAAGAAAGGAAAGGAGGCTAAGTGCTCAGGCATTTTCTGGCTCATTCATTCTGGTGGCATCAGCTCTCCACGGAGCAGAAGCTGTCAACAAGATGGGGGGTCTGCCCATCTGTCAGTTCAAAGGAGAGCAGCTGCCACCAGAACAAACCAGGCATGGGAATCTCAGCGGCAGCCTCTTTTTCTCAGCAGACGGCTGGGCTGATAGCGGGAGGGCGGTGGCAACTCCCACGGCTCCCTTCCTGGCAGGGAGCATGGGGCAGGGAAGACCGAGTAGGTGCTACAAGCCGGCTTTCCACCCACTGCTGCCTGTAGACCAGTTACAGGCTGGGAAGATGCCTCCCCCCACACCTTGATTTTCTAGTTGAGGTTGTCGGGATGCAGAGAACTGAACCACAGAAAATTCGTTCCTTCAGGAGACAAACCTCTGGAGTACTTGAGAAAAGAGAGGCTGGGAAGATGCCTCCCCCCACACCTTGAGTTTCTAGTTGAGGCTGTCGGGATGCAGAGAACTGAACCATAGAAAATTCGTTCCTTCAGGAGACAAACTTCTGGAGTACTTGAGAAAAGAGAGGGGTTTTTTTTTACTACAACTCCCAGAATCCTTCAGCCAGCAAGGCCATTGGCTTTCCAGTCTCTGTTCATAAACCTCTCTATGCAGACCTCCATGTTCCACGCAAGGACATCAAGGAGGCACGGAGAGTCATGTCATGTCCAGGGCAGTGTTTTGCATGAAGTCCTGCACGTATACAGACAATCATCCACTGTACATGCGCGCACATCTCTCGCGCGACGGCCTTGAAGGCTTAGGCAACCAAAATTCAATTAGCAAAATGTCTCTGACATCTCCTTAGACTCAGACAATTAAGACTTAAATTCCAAATGCCAGCTGTCACTAAGAGTAAGAAATATAAAATGTTATCATACAAAGTCTCCTAAATGTAATCAGGTTGTTGGACTTCAACTCATGAGCCCCAGCCATCACAGCCACTAGAGGGGAATTTTGCAGCTTGCAACCCCACAGCATCTGAGAGGGCCACAAGAAGCCAACAAATGCATCAGAAATATGCATCTTTTTCTAAGGGATGTGGCTTTGTACAGCTATAATGGCTGACGTGACAAGTCACTGCTTATCTGTTGTCCACTGTTTCAGTCCAGACACTGCATTGTTGGCTCCATCAGGTTCAGACTTTTTCCGCTATACAGTATATTCTGTTCCTGGGAACCACCCTTAGCCTCCATCTCCACTGTTCTTCCTGTGTAAAACAGATGCTGCTGCTAAACTCAAAAAGCGATTTTTCATTATCAGCTTCTGTTGCCACGCAGACGTTAACCAACCTGCCTAAGATACTTGCTACAGTCTGGATGAGGAGCGTCTTGCCCTCCAGTCCTCGGACGGCGACTCCCACCAGCCCAAGCCATCCTAAGGGATGGTGCCCAACAATATCTGAAAAGCAGGATCTTCCCCAGCGCCAAGCTACGGCAAGTAAGTACTGTACAGCTAAAGCCATTTTGTCCTTTTTCATTTCCTGCATCGCAGTGCCCTTCCTGATTAAGTAAATGCCTGTGTTCTGATTCTGATATGCGCATGTGTGAGTGTGTGGGAGAAGCAGATGCTAACTAATCTTATCTCACCCCATCTTGCCTTGGTCTTCTCAGCCAAATTACTGAGGAAGCGTACGCTAATCCTCCAGGAGGCTGGAGTGGTTAGAGATTAGAAACTGGCAGAGTTTCATACAACCCCCGGCCCCCTCCCTTCCCAATCTCCCAAATGAAGCAACATCCCCACCTCCCTGCATAACAAACAATTCCCTCTATTCTGTAATGTCGGAAGTGGGCTGGTTATGATATTTATGTGTGGATTTATGCCTTGCGGTAAAACTAGAGGAACGTGACACCTTTCAAGTTGGTTTTCCAAGTAAATTCTGGACTGGCAGGACAAAGAGAAGGGCCAGGCTTTTCCAGGGGGCCTTTTGTCTTAAACACTGTGGCATCCCAAACAGGTCAATACTCGGGTTTAGACTGGTGAGAGATGTTTGATAAATTCCATACGAATGGGGAAGTGTTCCAGATCAATGGAGCAAACACACCATGCGTGCAGAAAGTCACATCTTCAGTCCCTGCATCTCCAGGAACGCACAAGAAAGATCTTGACCACAGGTCTTCTTTTGGCATGGCTTTAATGGAGCCAGGGTCAAAGCCCTGGAATTTTTTGAGTAGCAGGGACTATAATAGAAATTAATAATATATTCTGCCAGCCCCTGCATCTTCCCTGTTAACTTTGCGCTTTGATGCACTCCTAAAAGCAGCTGGGGAGAAATGAATTTTCCCAGGAGAAATGTACAGCTACAAGCTATCCCTATTGTATTTGAGGATGGTTTGGTCTCAAAAGAAGCAATTAAGAGCAACTAGCTTTACAAAAGACCTGATCCTGATGAAAACTAAAACTGCTAGAACTCATTTCTTGATACTGGTCAGTGTACGCTGCCCATATTTTTGAATTTTTTTGCTTGCTCATAACGAGCACCTGGACTTCCAAATATGCCGAATATACATCACTCCCTTTGAGAACTCCTGACAGACGGGACATGACTTCATGGACTAGACGGAAGGCAATGTCCCCTGGAACAAGAGGGAGGCGCACAAGCGTCTCTTTTGTGCCCCTGCATCTAAATTTGCGGCATTGTTAATATAACACAAAAGGGATTCCTTGGTGGCTTGCTCAAATCATACAAGGGTCCCATGAGAAAAGATATTCTTTTGGGGGTGGGTGTTTGGCTTGTATCACTCTTGTTGGGTGATTTGCCAGGTTTTTTAAAAACAAGGTTCACCCGCGTGAAAAGGCTGAAGTATCTCTATGTCTTAATGACTCAATAGTGAGAGTCCAAAGGAAAAAACACATTGCTATTTTTTCTTTCCTTTTGTCTTTTGCCCTCCCCAAAGTTTCTCCGAAAATTGAATCTGAGCCTTGGGCTGAAAGAGGTTCCCTGGCTTTGTTGTCTGATGAGGTTGAAGGTATCCTGCGTGCAGCCCCATATCCCGCAGCCACACCCTTCAGCCAATCCCAGCCAAGCATAATTCCATCACCTTGAGATTCTTGACCGGCACTGCGGGATCGGAGAAGAAGCTTTGGCGGAAAGTGATCTCAATGCCAGCCTCTTTGACTCGCTCCTCCAGGTCATCCAAAGTCTGTAGAAACACAGAAGGAGGCAGCATGACAACCAAGACATATAGGGGGTTGTGGACAACAGGGGTGGAGTGTAGGGCCACCGTGGTACAGTGGTTCATGTCAGCATTTGACTCGGAAGACAACGCTTAAAACCCCGACTCGGTCACAAAACCCACTGGCTGACCTTGGGCTAATCGGACTCTTTCCGCTTGGCTTATTTTTTTGCCACATTGTTGAGTGTAAGGAAGGGAGAAGGAGGAAAACCATGTAGGCCATTTTGAGGTCACTGGAGCAAAACATGGCTTTCTGAGAATCTCAGTGTATTAATTTTTATAATGTTTCCAATCCATGTACCAGTGGGTGAATGTGCTGTTAAAATCTTATAGACTTTTTCCAACTGGTGAACACTATTTAAACAGACAGGGGCTCTATGTTAATTGCTTACCTCCTTCTGTTTGGGGGGGGGAGCAACGTGACAAAGGGGGAAATCTATAGTGGTCTCCAGTGAAGCCCCTTCCCCCCCAACTGTGTTTCAAGGAGGCCAGAGGCTCGTACGCCCTACCTCTCTCACTTTGGTCACAAGCTAATTCTAAGTGTACTTAAAGCTCTCAATTTCACATCCATGGAAATCAACGACAAAGGCTCCAGTCTGGATAAGAAGCAAGGCCCCCATAACTGTTCATCCTTCATAATAAAGATGGTTTTAAGAATGGTTTATTTAAAATATTACTAATGTAGCATTTGACTTTATGGGTTTGCAACTTGCCGCTTCATGCACTTCAAATACAGTGATATTTAATATTCCCGAAGTTCTGTAGGCATCACAAAACGATTCTGTTTCTAGGCCAACTCTGCATTGATCAGCACCATTTGCTCGCACAGTTTTTTTGAAATGGCTCTGAAGCCCAAGGATGAGACAAAAGATTGAGAAGAGGTTGCAGCTAATGAAGAATGGCTTGGCCAAGAGGGAGCGAGTGGAAATATACCACAACGAGACATCGAAAGTTACAGCCCATTTGCCTATTACAGTTTGCACAAAAATAGCTTCATTTGCTTAACATTTGCATAAATGTGATGGACACTGGAACACAGCTGGGATAAATGCTCCATTTCTTTCTCAATGCCTTTTGTACGATTTTCCTCTCTGAAACTAGAAGCAGTAATTCTTCTTAGGACATCTTGGAGAGAAACAGCACTCAGCTGAGAACTTACATGACATGTATTAAGATTCAGCAGGTGAAAAGAGCCCTAGAAATATACTTTGTCCTAAAGAGAGCAATCTAGAAGCATACTAAAGAGATACTTCTTTCTTCTTTTGTCCCCAGCTCCTGTTTTCTTGCAAGATCTGTCTCCATCCAATTACTTCCTTCTCTTTCCTCTCTCTAGCATTTTCTTTGTAAGCTTATTGGGGTAGAGACATCGCTCCTCCACAAAATACCACACTCCTCCACAAAATACCACATATGTTGGGAGTCTGCATAATAAATACAATTTATAATGAAGTTCTGTGTTCACCAAGCATAATGTTTTCAGGTATATTTTAGCCATGGTAAGGACTAGAAACTTGTTTTGACAGAAATCTGATTCTAACAAAGACACCCAAATATCACATGGATTTCCAGGTAATCTGTTTGCATGGAAGATAAAAGCAATGGTTATTAAGGCTGAAGCAAACACCATGTTCAGCCCAAACGAGAATTAAAATTAACAAGGAGGAATTAGATTTCAGTTTTAGTGTTAGGAAGATAAAGGAGGTTAACTTTCTAATTTTGAGTTCAGAAAGGGAGTCTTTGTACTGTGACAGATGCACTTTTTCATAGCCTGCTGACATTTGGGAATTCACAAGATCAAATCAAGTAAACAAATAAGTTCAAAACCATGTCCTAGCATTACACTGGGAACTAAAAACTTGTAATAAAACAGGTATATGCAAACAGAAATGCAATTAGCATTCAAAATGTATTCAGTGAGCTGCATTTGGGTTCCCACAAATTTGGAACATTCTGGTACAAATTCAGTGATAAAGAACAAGGAAGTGGAGGAAATATCAGCTCCTTAGATCAGAAGAGAAGGCAGACAGCCAACAGTCAAAGGTGGAGCAGGCAAGGAGAGGAAAGGCACACCTGCAATCCTTCTCCTGCCCACCAGGAGGCCCTCCAGGGCTCCCTTCTTTTCGCTTTCTTCAGAGACACCCCTGAACCATTTCAAAGCTTTCCTCCGGAACTGTCATCGTTTAGTCGTGTCCGACTCTTCGTGACCCTATGGACCAGAGCATGCCAGCCCCTCCTGTCTTCCATTGCCTCCCGGAGTTGTGTCAAATTCATGTTGGTCGCTTTGATGACACTGTCCAACCCTCTCGTCCTCTGTCATCCCCTTCTCCTCTTGCCTTCACACTTTCCCAACATCAAGGTCTTTTCCAAGGAGTCTTCTCTTCTCATCAGATGGCCAAAGTATTAGAGCCTCAGCTTCAGGATCTGTCCTTCCAGTGTAAGGACTAGCAACCTGAGGTGCTGTCTTATTTTTGGTGTCATCTTTTGTGGAACAGCAAGTGCTGAGATTCTCAGGAAGCCAAAAACTGTGCC